AATAAACATCTATCTTGGAGCATTGGACTAGCATGGCGCTCTAGCTTTTACTGATGCAACGGTCCGTTGCGAAGTCCTGTTGGTAGTTTTTAAAGGTATCTTCGATTTTCTGTCTCGTCCATTTCCCAGGCCCTGATCTTCTGATATGATTGCTCGGTACGAAATCCAAGTTGAAACATGTTATAAAACTTATCCTACCAATAAGCCTATCTTGCAGTAATGTTGGTAACAGGGTCTGCAGGCGTGGGGCCTCTGGAATAGCCCAAATGTCAACAGATAAACTGTGATAATGAAAACATCACATTTCTGATAAATTTCGAGTTATGTTTCCAATGTCACAACACTTGATTCTCGGCGAATCAAGTGGTGCGACACAAGAATCATGCGTTTGCAAATATCATCAGTACAGGCACATCCAAACTAACGAAGAAATCAGTGCGGTCGGGAGAATTCAGGAGCGTTAGGAAGCGGTCCTAATGGGCTTGTAAGAAATTCGAAAAGAGTTTATTTTTCGGAGTAAAATTCCATAAGCTTCAAAACCTCATGTAGAAACCGTTAACTGAATCAAGAAATGTCAATGTCAAAAGCAGATAGCTTCTATACAGCATTAAATAAAGCATACTTTGTCCTCGAGCTGGGACATCGACGACCTGATATCAAGTACCACTAATTGCAGATTTAAGAAAGGTCTCGAACTTTGTTTCGTCGGAAAGTGGAGATTAGTATATTACAAGAAGATGGAGTTCATCCCCAACCGACGGTTTGTTTGATTTAGGTAATATGCCCGGCGCTTAATTTGATTTGCTTCTGCAGACAGCTTGACATCCCGAGCCCACGTGCTGCAAGATGGTTAAGAGTTGCAGAAGTACGTTGCTATATCCATTACTTTTCTCTTAGAAAACAAAAGCAAGCGCATAACGTGCCATAAAAGATATAAGATAATTAAAAAGGTGTGTATGCTTCTGTTGATTCTTATTCTGAAGGTCCGCGAACATCATCGGAAAGTCAGGCGTGAGCAGCGAAATAACCCTCAGAAATTCAGACGTTCGTTAGCATATTTTATTTACCAAATTTAAGGCAAAGACCCTGGGATTCCAAACAGTTTGCCTTTCAAAGAGGAGATTTTAAAACATGTCATTGAGACGAAGGAGGTATCAAAACGTTATTTGTGCCTATCCTCTTAGCGCGAGGCTCAACGCCGCATTGAGTTAATGAAACGTGCCAGAAGCTTACAATCAACCAAACCCGAGCCTCGAAAGAAAACACCGACTGAGCACGATTTTACCAAACAGTTTACTAGTGTAGTGAGTCGCGCTGACGTCATCTTGGAAGTCCTTGATGCCAGGGATCCCCTTGGGTCTCGATGCCTTGAGGCGGAGAGACAAATATTGGCTGCCGGAAAAAAATTGGTCCTTCTTCTTAACAAAATAGGTTTGCACATCATTTTATTGTATTTCAGATCTTATTCCACAAACCGTTTTGCAGCAGTGGCTTTCCTACTTCCGAAAGTGGTATACCGTGATGCCTTTTAAGGCCAATATACAGAAGCAATCCACAAATCTAAGTATCGTCAAGGGCAAAATTCCGAACCGTTCTGATCTTTCCTTAAAACAGTAAATCATGCTGATGTCTAACTCCGAAATTAGAGGACTCGGTGTTGATGGACTTATGTCTCTTCTTGCAAATATCAGCAGAAGTAGCGCAGGGAAACTTACAGTTGGAGTGATTGGCATTCCTAACACAGGCAAAAGTGCTGTTATTAATACTTTGATCCGCCGGCGGGTTGCGCCCAGTAGTTGTGTGCCCGGGCTCACAAAGTAGGTCGAGGTGCTCATTCACACTTTTTAGGGATTGCCAGTTATTCAAACTTGACAGCAAAGTCAAACTGATTGATTCTCCTGGAATAGTGTTGTCAAAGTCAGAGGACCCAGCTGAGCTTGCACTCCGCAACTGTACAAAGGTATTCTTTGCAAAAGAAGAGCTTTTAAAAATTTTAAATTGTTTTATAAACAAACCGTTTTTCACTTCAGCCTGAGGCGCTTCTCGAGCCTGAGCAAGCAGTTTCAGCAATCCTCCAGAGATGTCCTAAACGGCAGATAATAGTACAGTATTCCATTGGCGATTTTGCAAGCACCACGGACTTCCTGTGTCAGCTCGCCCAGCGAATGGGCAAGTTAAAGAAAGGTGGTGTCCCTGATTCCAAAGGCGCGGCGCGGATAATTATCTCGGACTGGATTACGTAACCATCAAGTTTATTTGTATTTGAGTGTTTAAGATCTATTTCCCATTTCGGCTCTGAGAGCCCGTAAGCTGTGTGCAATAATTCGCTATTCTGTTGTCTTTTAACTGAATGCGGAGAATCACATATCTCGCTTTCCAACGTAACACTAGCCGAGTTCCCCCCTCATCACACATGCATTAAATAGTTCACAATTTATGCTTAGATTGTGTCAGTTTTAGGTGATTAGGACTGTTTATTATTCAACACAGTCCTTTCTGTTAAACGTGCTTGTGCATAAAGTGCAGAATCCCGTGTGTGACCTCAAATAGTGCATTATATGGGAGGATTCCCGCTCCCAAAGCCTGCTCTAGGCCGAGGTTAAGTATCTTTTGGGCAAACAGACGGCCTTTGACTTACTGCCAGATTGCCTGTGATTGGCGTTCGTTTACATGCATAACCTATTCAAAAGCTGCATGCTGAATGAAAGTTCTATGAGCCAACCTCTTTTGGTCCGTTATTTAGCAGTTTGTTTATCGTCTGGAAGAATGCATGACCTCTACAGTCATGCAAAGACAACCTTTTTCGGATTTTTCTTAGCCATTTATACAAAATTACACGTAATAATAAATAAGTTGAAAGTTTATCTTCCGTCGTCAAAAGGACGCGGGAGTTGCCCCGTTTTGTAAATACGTATGCTTTGGTGACGTTAAAGAGGTCGACTATAACTATGCCAAGAAACTGACGCCTATTGCCTGCATCCACGCGCTGTGCCGACTAACGGATACATACCTAATTAGTTGGGTTCCAGAAATGTGGGCGCATGACTGCATGGCTTACGATATTTTGCTTACTCTATGATGTCTGGTAGTCGATTTTTTCGTACTTCCGCCAGTGGACCAGACACAGTGTGTGGTTTCCCATTCGTTCCCTACTGGTTTTTGCGTACTCAACGATCCAGATGCTTGTCCACAAAAACGCGGGTCACGTTACCAGAGGTTTCCTTTTGAGTAACGGTTGCCAGCTTGTGGACGGGAGTCGTTTAGCTCTTTCGCCCAACCTTGATATGCTGTCCAGATCTCCGCACCTTTCAGAACTGTCAAGATCGGAGCGCTCCACATTCGGGACATGGTTTGGAACGCGCCATATCGTTTTTGTGCGGTTTATCGAGACGTCGAAGTCCACGGTGAACGGGCAAGGCACGCCAGCTACCCTTATTTGGTTCATCCAGTCCGTGGAAGCGGTTCTAGTGTTTTGGCCACAAGTGAGGGCTCTGTGTTGTGTGCTGATAGTGCGGGATGACGACTTCATGCAGTGGCGCGCTCGGTTTGACTACCAAGGTACGGAATGCATTCCTTTCCTTGGACTCATCATGTATACGGCCACGGGCGATGAACATCCTCTATTGAATGCCTGAAGTCCAGTTGTCCGAGTTCACCAAATGAATAATCAGTGTCAGGATGCGGCAGTAGTTGTTATGAGTCCAGCCGACATGGCGCCGCGCTTGCGCTATACTAAAGGGTCAAGGCGTTATCCGCACTGCTTCTCGCCTCCCCCGTTGCCTGGAAGTAGATTAGAGATGCACTCATTATAACAGGTCCAGTCACTGCCTGCCTCACCACTTATTGTGGATGACGATGGAAAAAACGACCCCCACGGGATTCAGTTGCCTAGCCCCAAACCGCCGACAAAGCTGTCCCCCACAATGGTGATCGACACTGCAAACAGTAAGTCGGTCGTAGTGAAAACAGAACCTGTGCATCAGAATGAATGCCTGTTGAGCTGCTATGCAGATGGCGAAAGGTCTGCCACATCGACTGGCTATATAACTGTGCTGAAGCAGTGGGCAGCAGCTGTCCAAGACCTTCGTTTCATCAAGCCGAGATGGTTAGTGACTGCGTTAGCACTTTAGAGCTTTCATGGAGGCCACTGACTCAGGGCTGGGTGTGTGAAAGCTTCGATGCAATGATCCAGTCAATCTCCTTCTCCATTACGCCATCTTGCCTTGCTGATAGAAGCGAACAGGCGAGTTCTAGGAAGCAGTTCAGAAGACGAAGATGCGATCACTGGAACAAGGGATCCAGTGCTTCCAGTGGCCGCATCTTCGTCTTCATCTTGCCTTGTTTAGATGGGTCGTATTTAGGAGCTCTGTCATTGGAGCATTGCTGAGGTTGCGTTGACCAAATATTTACCCAGCGTCGACATGTTCGACCAATTTAGCCTGCTCGACAGGAGCAAGTAAAGAGGGAAATGCATAGAATTTGCCCGAACCAACAGTCACTCGTAGTTGTGATGGCAGTGATTATTACGGGCTCGGTATGCCGCATGTTGCAGGTTCAGTAGGTCACCTATGATTGTCCACCGCTGAAACCCTTCAACAACAGACTCCTGAGGGAAGTTGGGTTGGTTCGCATGCTACTTTTCGAACCATAGACTTCAATACTGGAGGTGTATTCGAGGCCAACTTTGACTACGAACATTCACACCGTTGCCGTCTAGGGTGACGTGACGACATTCGGAACGCTCTTACCTTCATGCGAGGACAGCCCACAACGGAGTCACCTCAGTTGGTGTTTTGGGAGAGTGACAGCGGTGTTTTTTCCTTGACCGGCCTTATAACCATCAATTAGATGCGTCATCAAAGACGTAGTCGGAAAACCGAGCGCAAATACGTTTATAAAATGCACTCACATGATGGTTATCTTAATCTGCAAGGCAAGTTCCATCCCTAGAACAGGACTGTTCCTTGCGCTCGTTAGTATATCTTTTGACCGACTTCATACTGATTACAGAAATTTTGACCGAAATTTTGGCCCAACTTGACACGAGTTATATATTGCGTCCTACATTGTCAGGCCGAGCCCTCCCGACACTTCCCCTGGTAAGGTGATTAAGTGGACTTCAACTCCCTTGAAAGATCGTTTTTGACTCTCCTCTTGCAAGCAGAATCGTCCAGAGTTTCCCTCAAAGTTGATTCGCTGCGTGTCTTATCTTCGAAACTTTCTTATCCACTCTAGCGGATAGTGTTGTCGTACTCGCCATATTGTCGGAACCGGAGCCCCCGACCTGTCAACACTTCCCTGTTGTTGGCTATCGTTTAATGTATGATTAGAGAAACTAATTATTGTCATTATGATTTGATCGGGTACTCTGCCGTCCAATTTTGTCGAGTTATGCTTTTGATTCGGTTTCTGCACTAGTTATCTTTTAAAGATGTCTCTTGTCTGCCGTGTCATGAATTTCACCCAGATGCACAAAGTTTCATCACCTTTCCCCCCCGGATGTCCTTTTTAGAGGCAAACTTTCCCACTACACTCTTCCACCTGAGAGTGGTGCCCCGATTGCCGAGCCTTCCTTGCCAGGTGCCATCGCAATCGATCCGGTCGATTTTCCACTACAAGAACACGATGAACAGGTCTTTGCTGGTCAGTGGCTTTGCCATTGTTACCTGTTCCCCATCCTATCCGTGTTGATCTTAAAATAGAGTTAGGCATTCCAGCAGAGCTAGCCCGATTCTCCCAGCCGCATTTTGTGAGTCTGCGATATAATACACACTTAATGTCCACAATGTCAGCAAGACAAAGAATAAATGCACCTCCACGACAGTATCTTCGAAAATCAACCACGTAAAACCGTACTTTTGCAAAAAGACCTTGAAGTATTCGTCAAGTACGACTTAAGCGTAGCAACTCATTATTCCAAAGTCGCAGCGCAGGCAATTTTAACTATGATTGCGGTATGCAGAAAGTTTTCAAACCTAAATGCCGATATCTTTAGTAGGGTATATGGAACGTTTGTGCGACCTCACCTGAAATATGCGGTACAGGCTCGGCGGCCGTGGGTTCCGAGGGAGAAGTATTCTTGAAGGTATACAACGACTTGATACGAGGGTTGTTCTTGGACTCAAAAATTTGGCGTACGAGCAGCGCCTAACGACCTTAAACCCCTACCCCCTCCACGATAGACAGGACGACGGTCGCCTTATAGCAACGTTTCAACTGCTAGGGGAACTTGATTTTGTTGTGAAGTGAGAAAATAGCACCGAAGACGAATCTCAGACGGCACGATTTCCAGTTTAAAAAGGGACTGTATTACACCAATCAACACATCTTTTTCTCTCAGTCTTTCGCCACTGAAGTTCCTTACCGACCTATGCCGACCAGTTTGTTTGAGAGGCGCCTGGATGCTGAACTGTTGCAACTATAACTATACTGCTGACTCGATTTAAATAACTCGTTTTGTTTACGCTACATTGGTTCTGCTGATCATACTGTGTGGAAATGCTATGAATGTGTTGTTCGCTGTTATTTCACAAATTCCCCACCCTCTTAAGAATTCGAATTCACTATTAGTCTTATGCATTTCGCGTACTAAATTTGCCTGTAAAAGATTTTCAATTTAGCGGTTTTTAATGGAGGCCTGTACCGTTTAAATGCAGTTTTCTAGGGCTTCTGCGATTTACTCCAAATTATCTTATTGGTTGAATGACTGACACACTGATTGATTGACGACTGCCAAGTCGGCTGTTTCTGGTAACACTCCAAATGCCACAATATACCATGAAGCATATGGGAAACAGCAAAAGAGCGTGCCACAGATCCTCCTCAAAAGTTGAGCATCTGTTCCCTAGCCGACTGCAAAGTGAACATCGTTCTGACATCTGCGACTGGAAAAATAAAATCAGCCTCCTTGATTATTCCACGCTCAGGAAATGTGAAATTTGAGCAGAGCCGTTAATCATGTACTGGCGAAATGTCACCCCTATCATGACCACAACTATTGTGTGCGCGAGCCCACCGCTAATCCTCGAAATTTTAAAGACGTGCAAACATCAGCGTCACTGTCAACAATCAAATGCATTAAGTTAGGCTTCGTGCCGTAGCTCACCCTAACTTTACTTGAGGGTGCCTAGCGCGAAACAGCCAGCTTCATTCTCGGTGATCTTTGGTCGTCATGTTTCGGGGGTTGCTACCGAGGACTGGGGTCTTACTTGAGGTCTGATTTTACCACATTCGTTTAACCTCTCATTTTGCCGCTAAGGCTTCGGCTCAATTTCTGACAGAATTTGAGGTGATAATTGTTGTGGGCTGGAGAGTGGACCAGAAAGCAAAGTCTAAACAACCGCTTGTGTATTTGTTTAGCGCCAGTCGAGCACAAGCTGTGCTCGAGAATACTTCGGTTCAAACAAAGGGTCCCTTTTTATTTCCCTGATTGGCACAGACAGATAGAGGCGCGCGCACCTGCATATGGCTCATTAGTGCTAGACAAGTTCCTCATGCCGATTAATCTGACCGAACTATATCCGACGACGGTTTTTCAGCCTAGTTGACCGCAGGTGCTGACGATCGGCGGTGAATTTCCGTGTTGAAGCATGGTCCTTGAAGTCACCGCATTCTTCGAAGACACTAGTTTAAAATCGACTTTTCCGACCTGTGAACAGTCACGCCTGACTGTGACACCCGAGCATGGTCTAGGACTCAGGAGTCCGCTTATTTAAACCTTAGTTTATGCTTAAGGTCACTCCGATCTCCGCTACCCGTGGACGCGCAGAACATCCCATGGATGGGTTATTTTAATTTCTTCGTGGTCCTAACATATAAAGCCGCCCGAATAATCTTGATGGTGTCAGCCTCTGCGCTACAAATGTTAATGCTTCTACGCTGTTCAGTTTGTCCAAGAAATGAGTCGAGATGAAGGGGACTGACTTGTTAGTCCGTATAATTTGTGATTCTGGTTACGATTTCCTACATAAATGGAGCACATAATCCGCGGTCACCGTAGGCGTTTACTATTCTGGGATCGACTTTGCTGGCTCAAGTTAGAAGCCCAACGACGGTGACTGTAGGGCGCCTAGTGCTACAGGATTACCTACTCACTTTGTTAATGATCGTGGCTAGTTCAAATATATTATCGCGGCTATAGCAAACTGCGGCCGGCATATTTATGACTTCATCGAGTCTAAACAAATTAGTGGTGTCTCGGCAGATCCAACTTAACAATATAATGTGTTTACAGGCTGGCTTGCCACCAGTGACCTGAACAGAACTTCGGAGACAAATTTGATCCGACAGTACTGGTGGTCCGGCTAAATTACTATATAAGCCCATTCCTATCAAAAAAGACGTTGATTCCGCCGGATATTTCCAGCTACTTGAGCTATCCTTTTGAAACAATTTCTTTCCTTATGAACCCATCTGCCAAATCCAGTCATCTGTATATGTCTTCATTCGCATATTTTATCTGGCTGACAAACTTCCTTCTTCTAGCCATGCCAATGAAAGCAGACAGCGACTTCTGCCCTCCTGCTGTTCTTCCAGCCTCGCAGCCGTTCGAAACTTTTTCCAACGAAGCTTCACACGAAGATGCTCTTGCTAACGATGCCGATGATATGTCTGACGAAAATGAAGAGGAAGTTGTTGAAGATGAGGAATTCGAGTCAGCTGAAGAAGATTTGCCTATGGAAACTGAGTGATATCTGCATATATTTTGATTAAAAGATTGTGCATACTTCTTGTATCTCCTCTTATTTGGCGACGACTGTAGGTAGGGGCAAACTGAACGTTTTTTTACCAGTCTGTTGGTTTTTCGAAATATTGCAGACGCAATCACCAAGATTGGAATTACTTTCGTCACCATTATTCGACTTCTAGGTTTGGAGTTTCCGTCCTTGCATAACTGTTGATTCAGCAATATAACGAGCTGTCGGCGAATTCTAGAGAAACGCGTTTGGCAGCTTGGGTGGGTAGCTCAATTTGTTTTTTGCCTACCGGCATATTTGGAGCCAAAAGTTACGCGACTAGACGAGTCCATATACACAACAATATGCGTAATGACGATTATTCAATTGGTCGAATGCTAGGTGCTGGAATACGTGCAAAGGAGCCGGGCAAGTTCGAACGTCTCATAAATTTTTGCCGCATGCGGATGAACAATTTAGCAGAGGCGGTCCACACTACGGAAGGTAGGCTATACGAAACCCGAATTCCGACACTTCAGATTTGATGATTGTGCTAGTAGACTTTAACTTCCCCTGATGTAGCCGGAGCGTATCACAGATGGATTAGAAAAGTATTTATGGTAGCTGAAGTCCTGTTTCCGGCGTTTACACTTGCATGCGAGGCATATATGTGCACTTGCAGCCGTCACCGGATAAAGCGCGCATTGTTTCCGCCCATATATATATATTTCAAAGAAGAATGAGTCCTTTGGGAAAATGAACAAACTTTATTTCGTAAATTTTCGAGTCTGGTTCCCCAGCTCGTCTTCAGACGTGTAGTAAGTGTGAAGAAACAGTCAAAAACAAAGGCCTGAAATACTGCGTGTCTTGCCCTACGTGGGCAACGTCTCTGAAACCACTGAGCGCGTGCTAAGACCGCTAAACGTGGGCATTGGGCACCGGCCGGAGGCCACTATCTGCCGCTTAATCATACAGCTGATTGGTCATCTACCACCTGCGGACATGTCAGGCGTCATTCGTCGCGCCAACTTTCTAGACTGACTAGCCAACTGCGGCATGACTGAAAAACGACTATAACGCGCATGCACCAGGATGCTCTAGCCGCAAAACGAAAAGATGTACGATCGCACGCCGACATGCATTCTCGAAAGTAATCATAGGTCCGACATTGACTGTGCCCAAGTGCTCGATCTGTCCGAAAGCAAACAGTTGAGAGAAATAGTCAAAGCATGACAATTGGACACCAACTCGATCAGCCGCAGTATCGGCCTACCAGCGCCACACGAGGCCGTCAAGGACAACTTGCGCATTATAAGAGGGCTAATAAGGAGAGAGATTGACGGACCTATAAGGAGTGAGCACGAAAGGATTATTTAAGCCAAGTATTTCCCTCTGTCTACCTCCAATGGCGCGCCCGGGCTTGAGTGTGGACTGACGGGTGATTAAGCCTTCTCGATTCCTTCTTCTTCTTCTTCTTCTTCTTCTTCTTCTTCTTCTTCTTCTTCTTCTTCTTCTTCTTCTTCTTCTTCTTCATCGTCTTTTTCTGCTTCAGAGCTCACCCTATCTTCTTCTTCCACCTCAACGCCTGGGGTCAGTATTTTCGCCTATGCATGTGCAGGAGGAAGTGGTGATCACGGGGACCATAGGCTTAATCACTTGACATTTTAGAAGCAAACAAGCTTTCCTCTTGGAAGAAGGTTTTTGTACGGTGCTTCACGGTATTCATCGGTGTTATTCATACTATCGTGCCGTTTCTAGGGCTATTCGTACAGGATGCACTGCTGGGGGGAGAGTTGATTGCTGTCATGACGGCCGGTGCCGCTCTCCCTCTCCTCGTCTGGAGTGGTGTCGGGATGGCAGCGGTTATTGCTCTCGTCTGCATTGTCCGCACTTGTCATCCTAGAACCGCATACTTCGTCCACATTCCCCGTTTTTTGTCTGTCTGCGCGTGTCTCGCCCGGTGGTTGCTGAGCCGTTGGCGGTGTTTCCGCTCCCATCGGGCTGACAATCCTCGTCAGCGGCGTTCATGCACGAACTGTGTTCAAGCCCGTCTGCGTTTTAAGCCCGATAGGGGGTCGTGCGGCTTTACGTTCTCCGCGGTTTTCCACGCGGCTCAGTTTGCACTTGATATACGTTCACACCCGTTTACGATCGCGTTCAGTCTGAATTCCTGCCTGTGGTTTCCTGACTGAGCCACAAACGTAAGGCCTGGTAAGCCGCGGGGAGAATCGTGCAGCGATTTATGAAAGTTGGCCCGGCGTGCCGCGGTCCGAGCGTTTTTCTAACTGTTTGATAGATACCCCGACCTAGGATTTCGGCGTCCTGGAAAGCAAAAGCGTGTCCAGAGGCTGCACAGTGTTCTGCCACCAGTGAGAGCTGGTCCATTCTTTACAATGTCCGTGCGGGCTCACTTATACAGGCCCGCAGTCACCTATCAGTCTCTCCAAAGTAATTTGTCCCGTGTTATCTCGTGACAGAGGGGCTTTGGGTCCATAATCGGAGGTTTTATGGTTGCCCCAGGTCTGTGGGCGTCGCCGAACTCTAATGGTTGTAAGAAGCGAGCGACTACCTCGGATAATTTTTCGATACGCGGTAGTGCCTGCCGCACCCTCGGCAGTTCTGTCGTGGATCTTATAGCTTGTTTAGTCTGTCCGCTGCCTTCTACGGTGCCGCGAGGGAAACCGTTAGCGGCGAACCGGCAATAAAAAGCAATCACATGACGAACTCTCCCATACGTGGAAAATGTATCTGAGCTAGTCGTGAGAATGCTGAAAAAAACATCAAATAAAAGGAGCCAACCAAACCCGAAACTCTCTTGCGCACCCAGCTTATACAAGCTAAAGACAAGGTTAGCTACCTCGATGGAAAATTATTGTCAACAAAATTGCATGTGTCATTTGTGGCTGTCGTCTGTTATGGCCAAACTGGGAAATCTCAACGCGTATACATGAGCATCAGCTAGCAGTGAGGAGTGACTATCTATCCCAAGTGGCCATGCATACACTGAAACCTTGGCACAGGTTCGTGTGGGATAACACCCACATTTTTGACGTCTGCTCAATAAGGAAAGGCCGTGAACTTCTGAAGGCAGTGCGCTCAGATGAGGTTTACATCTAAAAGCATATCGATTGAAATGCAACACAGATTCCTCAGAGTCAAATAGAAGAAATCCTGACAGCGCTTGCCGGCTAACTGAACATGATGGACGCCTACCGTCATTTCTCATGTATCTGACGAAGAACTGGGGTACAAGATTTGAAGATTTGCACACTGAAAGTTATTTCGTTCCGTTAGTTTACCGATTTGTTCTAGTCGGTCATTGGCTGTGAGCGGGTAGACCGTCAGCACACTTGAGTGACAAAAGCTCCTCACGTCAGTAAGCCTTCTCAAAGTTTATGGGGGTTCGCTCATTCTGCGTTAGGGATGGGTATGTGTGGAAAGCTCTACAAATCCAGTTCCTTATTGGTCTGTCCCCTTTGGAATTGCCTGTACAGGGTCTGATATTATGGCGGATGTTCTTTCAGACAAACAATGGATTTGACATCTATTTATGCAGCTCAGTGGCTGTTTTACGTGGATCCTCGGCAATGCTTCGTGTCCTGGCAAGGTCATGCGTTTTGTTTTTGTCCCCGTTTATTTATTTACAGTGCTTCAGCTCAGCTTTGTGCTTACGTGAATGCAACACAGATGTACGCTTTGGTTGACACATTTACTGCAAGGAAGTACTCCAACTTCTATCGGGCAGGCTACGATTGTGTTTCCCCGGGTCTAATTGATCTGTTGCCCTCGTAATAACGTCGAGGTACCCGAACACCAAAAATGCTTTAGTTTAAGAAGGTCGTGTTTGAAAGCTTTTCGCCAAGTTCACTCACTTCTCCAACTTTATTGCGCCAGTCAAATTTACTTACGTAAACTAATCAGACAAGTAAATCTTTCCATATTCAAGAGGCAATGCCATCTTCGCAGTTCTGGGGGATATTATTTAATTAACGATCAGTGACACAGCTCCACAGGTGACTGCGTGGGGCTTTGCATGCCTGCGCCAGGCTGATGCATCAATTGACCGAGTTTTCATTCAAGACCCAGGCCTCAAACAATTCTCGGTTTTTCGTTCTCCCTGTGTCGGCGGTGATCTTGGACGTTGCGAACTTGGACTCGCGACACGGCTGAGTAAACTATTTGGAGTATTACCGTCCAAAAATGAAGAAATTGCGCCAAATGGAAGCAATTGACGCTGTTTGCTAAAAATTCACAAATCGAATATGTCACTGCAGCCAATCGTCTCTATAAAAGGCAATGCTAGCTATAATTTGGCAAAGCCAGATCAGTCCTCTTCTTTGTTACTGAATGTCCCTTCTGTAAATTTGGTCGTTGGATAAAGCCAGATTATTTTGCATATTCATAAGTCAAGACAATTTTCTACCTTCTTTTACTTGTGGGAAGGTTAATACGTATGACAGGGCGACGGTGCATATCAGTATCTGGACAAGGCTTTTGCCCAGGTCTCCTCCAACACGACTTTGGTGTAAGAAAAAGCGCACAATAAGGCCAGCACGGGTTTCCAGTTCAGTGACTCTTGGTTGATCGGTAGATGCCGTATAAGTAAACTACCTGCAGTGAACATTGGCTTACTCAGTCTATTTGGATTTGGCTTTCGACAAGCCATAGTATTTTCCGACTTGTATTTAGAGTTCTCACGCAACTTCAATTCTGCACCTTTGCATGTCTACTTTTGAAAATCAGAGTTTTCGCTTTGTTTGCGTGTGACTGTTGTCTGTTTGCTTGTCACTAAAATTCGGAGAATAGAGTCATCAATCTTTCAACTCTTTCGCTGACAGTAAACTGGATGTCATGGGAGACAAATTTCTGAAGGATGGTTATCTATCAGACATAGCCATCTTCATGAGGAGCAACATACTGCCAAGATGACAGAGCCAGGAGGTCTGTTTATGAATAACGGAGACGTAACAACTCAGTCCCCGTAAAACTGCCTCTATAATCATCCCGAAAACAACAGAACTCTTGCCTCGGTCCATTGAAAATAAAATATTAACAATTGACAAAAGTTTAATAGACTTTTCAGGCTGGTGTCAATCTGTGCATACTGCGGCACTCATTGCTTTCAGCTAGCTTTAGGCGGATTGTGGTAGTATCGGTGTGAAAAGAGATGTAAAGTCAAACAACCTCAAGGCATCATTCTTAAGGCTTTGTTGAGGAAGCCGAAATCGCTTGACAATCCCGCGACTCCCTCGAAGGCAAGGACACCTTTTGCAGCCACAATCGGTATTAGGCAAATGGTCCCCCTGTGGGTTTTGGGTAGGCCGCTGAACTGAGCTTGTGCTGAATCAGTTTATTTTACGGCTCCCTAGCCGCTCATCAATGGTTTGCAAAAATTATTGTTTCCGAAGAAGAAGATACGATTGCTGGATTTCTTCTTCTTAACTATTTCCCGGAACTCACCTATTTGCTTCTATCGGCAGTTATCGTTTTCAGTCACGCACTTTTAGGGTTGTTTAACGATACTTCCCTTTAGGACTGGATGACCGAACGGTAGGTCTGGCAATTATCGAGAAGAGAGTTCGAATTCTCCATTTTATCGGAGCGGTCCATCAGTAATTTTTCCCACGCTTATCAGCCAAAAGGGGGACGACAATATCTATACTACTTTAAAGTTATTTGATTAATATTCGCCTAGGACTGTAAGAGAACGTTTGCGAAACGGAAAAAAATGGGCAAAAAGGATATGTGGTGCTTTATAGACTGCTTCGCCTCATCATTTACGTTGGTGTAGACGAGCAAAACACATCACCGAAGCCAGTCGTCCGGTTTTCTGATGCGTTGAAGACAAGTCTCGAGTTGGTGGACCTTCAACTGCTGCTCGCTCAACCGCCATCATGGACAGCATCCCTGTCAGCATTATCCTCCTTTGCCTTCCTTAGTCACGGATGAATACTACTATTGGTTCTGGTTGTGCTGACCTCACTGGTGCACCATGGAAAGGCATGCTGATTGTTCACTCTGTTTTAAGCATTATGATAATGCCGGTTAAACGCGGTCAGTCGGGTACGTGTATAGTACTTTTGTTAGTCTTGGACATTTGACTGATCCTTTTTAAATTTGCTGGATTTTGGCACTTATATAATCTGAACTAGGCACTTAAACGGAATGCTGCGCAGAATCCGGGAGCATAGGTATCTGCCGTTCAGATGTCCATTAACTCATAGGGTAGACTGGCCACCCGCGTCCAGCCGTCTTAAATGTCGACTTGCCAGAGACAAAATTGAATCAAACACGTGCGTATAAGCGGTAAATCGAGAAAATACCTGAATTACTCGATGGTTAATTTGGCCACCATTCGGAAATGGCGGACAGCTATACATGCTCTGCCAGACATTCAAATTCTGTCTTCTTATTCTATACGTATCCATTGGCATTCGATCCTCTGATAGCGCGTGGAGTGTGCCGGCACATTTCCTGGCTATTTGAAGAAGACGAGTGGTCGGGAAACTCCTGTACTCTGCCTTCTGTTAGCCGTATTTCTTCAGAAATTGTGCATAATCATCGGTTTTGAAATTTAAATGACTGTCTGTCTCTTTCCGCTGATCACTAATGCTTCTGGACGCCATCTGAAATGTGAAACTGCTAAGTTTTGGTTGAGGAACCTTCTTTATTCTCTCGATGAACAGAATGAAAACAGTCGTCATGAGGATTTCTTAAAAACGGTTAGGAACACAACTATCACCAACCGACTTTCTTCGCCGCCTGGTTTTCTTTAAATGTTCTGCGCAAATTTGTTCTCGCTTTGTTTATAAAGGCAAATTTTAGCTGCATGGAAAAACAATATAAAACCTATGGTCAGATCTAGCAAGTCACAGTATTAAATTGTCGATTACGAGCAAGCTGACAGCAGCGAACTGGAATGTTCTTCGCTTAAATAGGGAAAGTTAAAAAACAACTGACTGGATTTTAGAAGAATGCATCTTCTGAGTCTATTCCT